TTCTTCCCGTGGCTGCTGCAAACTCTTCAAAACTCTAGTGACACAGCCTCTCTCTCCTAATCTCGACTGCGTACTCTTTGTTTTGTTATATTTTGTTTTGTTTCGTTTTTTCCGCCCCCCTTTTCTTTACCTCTTAAGATTATAACCTAATAACTATTACAACAATGATTCATCCCACTAAAAACATCATCACTAATAGCACTAATACATTAAAAAAAAAAAAAAATACAACTCCAAGACCAAAACATCACATCATTAATGACCGGATCTACTGTCACCTAATTAGTGGGAGCACTAATTAGTGCTCCCAAGCATTTTTCTAACTATTATTTTATATTTTATTATATAAATGCAACATATATAAATATGCTATATAAGATCAATATATGTAACATTTTTTTTGTATATAAAAATATATATAAATATTCGTATTAATTATATATAATTAAATATCACGTTAAATTAATTAAATAACACCTTAAATTCTCATGTATCTATGCAATTAATAAAGCAATAAAAAAATAAAGTAATAATAATAATAATAAATAATGACTTAAGAAAATTAGGGTTACTACAATAGTTTTTTTTTTTTTGAATTTTATTTCCGTTGGACATGCAAGAGTCATTGGAAGTGGAGCCAGGCGTGGCTCATATGGGAGTTGAAAACTTTTTGGGCCATACCGAGTTTCCAAACAGGCACCCCAAGCTCGGAGTCCAAGCCTAGGCTTGGGCCCAAGCCTGATCTAGCCCACTCGGGCCGCAAGCAGGTTTCAGATGACCGACAGGCCTACGAGCTATTTTTACACCCCTAATGCTATATCTCAATACGACGCAATTTTGACTTTTTATTTGTTTGTTTGTTTTTTTTATTTTTGTTTTGTTTTGTTTTTGGACACTTACAAGGCGCAACTTTTTGTTTTGACTGCCCATTAATGAGACAAAATTTTGATTGTTCATTCCTTAAAATTGTTTAAGTAAACCAATAAAAAATTATGATTTCTGTTTATTACCGGTGGAGAATAAAAAATAAATAATTATTCTTAAAATTATCAATTACAATTGTCTCATTGGACAAAAAATGTCAAAAAATAAAATAATTATTAAAATTGTTATAGTTTACCATTGATTTGATTTTTTTTGTGTGGAAATATACACTAAATTTCAATTTTCCCAAATTTTAATTTTTCTTTATATTACATTTCAATTTGGGGAGGATGGTTGCGAATTATTGAGGGAAAAAAAAGGTCATTGCAAAAAAGGATTGCCTAGATCAAATGTATTGTTGATTTACTAGAGTAAAATCGAATGAAACGGAATTACTATTCCTTTACAATTATAAATGATGACTTCATTTATAATAATGAACATTGGGATGAAATAGTCATTGTATTCCACTTTATTTTAATAAACTAAATAGAGCATATGAAAATTATGAAACATTTATTAATATAATACCCAATTTAAAAAGTATAAAAAAAATTGAAATCAAGTAATTAAATAATATTAGTACTTTAGTAAGTGAGTAAATTGTGAAACTACTTTTTGACATTGAGAATTATATAAATATAAATATTTGTCAAAACTATGCTGTATCAAGGCACAGTAAGTCTTGATGTGCATGACGGCAACAGTATCTTTCAACCTAACGATGTGTAAGTGATGTAATTAGTTAATAATTAAAAGTTATAGCAGAGTAATGCTCAATTATTAATATTTCTTAAGAAATCATATTTATTGATTTAAGATTTGTATAGTAAAGATATATGTTACATAGGACTCTTAATATAGCAAGTTAATAAACTAATTTTATGAAGATAAACATAAATTAATTGATATATAAAAGATGGATCAAATGGGATTGGAATTCTTTCTATCATTTTGTTTAAAAAAAAGAAAAGATTTATTTATAAAAGGAAAAGAAATTTATGCCCCTAAGAAGGGGTAAAACGTAATTGCAATTTTGTCATACAAGTGCGTGGGTGAACTGTAATTAACCTCTCAAGCATACTACACGAATATCCTCTCTTTAATCATTTACAATCTTAGCTAATTAAAAATCTTCATGAACTGTAATTAACCTCTCAAGCATACTACACGAATATTCTCTCTTTAATCATTTACAACCTTAGCTAATTAAAAATCTTCATGAGGAGAGCCACACTCTCAGTAGTATCTAAACCAATTGCACCCTCTACCTCCTTTGGACATTTGTTCTCTCTCATAGTCCTTCACTAGAAAAAATAATTCTATGATTCAATCAATACCCCAGGCCAGTTTTTATTTTATTTTATTGTTATTATTTATGTTCGTAAAAAATTTGAGAATTAAAAAAAAAAGAATAAAATTGTTTGGTATCTGTTTTTATTTCTAAAAAAACTAAAACAGTTTTTAAAATTTACAAAGTGTGCAAAATAAAGGAAACAAAGAAAAATAAAATGTGTTTTCTTTTCCACAACGATGCAGATTATGAGTTGGTTTAATTACAGATCGAGATACCTTATATACTAAAAGAAAATTAAAATTTCTATTATTAAACCAAATATCATCTACTTCGATTATCCTTCTAACTTATTTTTTAAAAATATATGTTTATCAAAAATATTTTTTATTTTTTTTAAAAAAATGAACATATTATATATTTTTTATATATAAAAAATGTAAACTGTAAATATCATAAATGCCCCTATGTTAGTGTGTCCAAAGTGCATAAACACAGTATTCGGTTAACACATGGATTTGGTACACCTCATGGCGGTGTGCCATCAAATGGGATTTTGTGATTTCTCTATCACATTTCTCATTTTTAGAATGGTGTATTATGTATCATGTTTCTCATTTTTAGAATGGTGTAAGTAAATTCTAATTATTGGATGAGCACACGACAGTTATGTATTACTGAAATATTAAATAATTACTCATTTATAGGTGATTAAGGGTGAAAATTTGCGATATGATATCATAACACAATTCGAACTTTATGAAATTAATGGATTAGACTTAACCATTTACTGACATAAACATGAATATTACACGATCTGATAATATAAATATTAAATTGATCAAGTCAATGTCAAATTTACCTAATATGAAATTGATATTGATAACTCGTTTAATGAAAAACAATTTACTTATTGTAATAAGCAGGACATTTTTGAATCCATTATGTTATTTCATTCAACTCAATAAAAAAGTATATAAAATAGAATTTTAATTCAATCAACTCCATAAAAATTATATAAAATAGAATTTTAAGATTAATATATTTTTTTCCTATCTAATTTGGACAATCTAATCAAAAAAGATATGAGATAAATTAATCTTAAATATTATAATTAATTTTCACAATCATTAGTTTAAAAAGTAAATAGAGTTTTGACATGGTGAAAAATGACACAAATACAACTAACTTGACATGATTTTGACAACTCATTTTTTTAATCTAAAAATTAAAAAGTAATTAAAAACACTAAAAAATTAATAATTTATACAAAAAAATCAAATATTTCATTTTTTCTTTATTTTTTATACATTTTTTTATAAAAAATTTAAAAATTATTCTAAACATATTAATTTTTTATCTCATATTTTAATCAAAAAATTAAAAAATTATTAAAATAACATACACAAATACAACTAACTTGACATGATTTTGACAACTCTTTTTTTTAGTCTAAAAATTAAAAAGTAATTAAAAACACTAAAAAATTAATAATTTATACAAAAAAGTCAAATATTTCATTTTTTCTTTATTTTTTATACATTTTTTTATAAAAAATTTAAAAATTATTCTAAACATATTAATTTTTTATCTCATATTTTAATCAAAAAATTATTAAAATAACATATTTTCAAATGAAACATAAAATAAAATGGTTTGAATAGGACCAATATTTGACAGGATGATTAGAAACATTGAGATGGTTGTGGAGAGAATAGCATGGAATAATTCCCCATTATGAGAAAACACAAGTGGACTCGCCACAGAGCGAGTATGAGGTTTTCATCTGAATCGGGTAACAACAATCATCGCCACCAAATAGCTATTTTGGTTTTGGACCATTCAAGAAAGAAAAATGTTAACATTTCTACTAAAAATATCTTTATGAATAGGAGTTACCATTTCTTTTATCAATTTTTTAATTATTAATTAATTATATAATTTATGTATTATTAAATTTAAAAAATAAGTTTATTTTTACTAAAAATTTTTATTAAAAATATATAGGATATAGTGTCACTGTTGTGCGTGAAACACAATAGTGACTGTTGTGTAATCCGTAGAACTCATTTCGGATTCTATTTTGATGATCTGAATCGTTAAAAATTTAAAAAATATCGAGAACAATATACCTGTAAAAATTCAAGTTGATCGGATATCAATAACTTGTTCATCAAATAACATTTGTATTGAGTTTAATATATATATAAATATATTTATATAAAGATTTTATTTGATGAATAGGTTATTAATATCCGATCAACTTAATTTTTTACAAGTATATTATTCTCGATATTTTCTAAATTTTTAATGATTCAGATCATCAAAAAAAGATCATAAATGAATTTTACGGACTGTATAATCGTCACTGTTGTACTTCACGCACAGCACACACTGGATCCAAATATATATTTGTATTTAAATATTTTTTTTTATAATTAATTATATTAGTTATTTATATTTGTAATAAAATTATAGTATGTATAGAATTATTAGAAACAAAAAAGAGCCAGTCCCATCCCCTCCCTATATATCAGCAGTAGTGTCCCTCTCTCTTTGTCTTCTCGGACTCTCTCCCTCGCGCGTTGCAATAGTCAGTGTCTTTATTGCGTAGGCCAAACTCTAATCTGTAAACCAGAAGCATCTCTCTCTCGAGATATATATATATATATAGAGAGAGAGAGAGAGAGAGAGAGATTGAATTAGAAGAAAAAAGCACATCCATACACAGATAGACACAAATATATATAGACATCTACGGGACTGGTGGTGGTGGTGGTGGTGGTGGTGATGGCGGGAAACGACTGGATAAATAGTTACCTGGAGGCGATTCTGGATGTTGGGCCTGGACTCGACGATGCCAAATCGTCTTTGCTGCTTAGAGAGAGAGGGAGGTTCAGTCCCACTCGCTACTTCGTCGAGCAGGTCATCACTGGCTTCGATGAGACCGATCTCTATCGCTCTTGGGTTCGCGTATGTTTCTTCATTCATTCATTTTCTCTCTCTACATGTATGCATATATGTATGTGTAATTGTTGATTACTGCTGGCAGGCTGCTGCGACGAGGAGCCCTCAGGAGAGGAATACTAGGCTCGAGAATATGTGCTGGCGGATTTGGAATTTGGCTCGCCAGAAGAAACAGGTCTCTCTCTCTCTCTCTCTCTATTATCTGTAGTTGGAATTCTAGATTTCGACTGTTACTTGAAATGGGTGTGTGTTGCCAATTAAGTGGAGGATGTGGAATTGTGTATTTTAAGTCTGTAGCCACAGTGGATGATGATGGGTTGTGTTGGATCTAAAGATTGGAGATTGGTTCATTTTGGGTTTTGATGATTGTTTATTAATTGCCTTTGTTTTCATCATCTGAATCTTATCAATCCTTCAACAATTGGGCTTCTTTTAAGTTCCAAATTTCAAAATTTACTTTTGTGTTAAACAACAGCATGCCACATTTTGATTGCAAAATTAACTTCTGCAATTGCTACTGTTTTTGTTTTTAGTTGTGTTTCTGATATTTAAATTTTTTTATTATTATTATTATTTTTTTTTTTTTAAAATTCACAAAAAAGATTACTGGGATGCTTTCTGTAGAAAACCATTACAATGTTTTTTTTGTCATATCCTTTATGATTATGCCTCTAAACTTGTACAATGTTTCGGACTGTCATTACTCATTTAACGAAAATGGGCATGGCTCAAGTATTATTTTCTACTTTGCTGGCATTTAATTGTTTTTGTTCTTAACTGAACTCCTTTTTGATATGCTAAATGAAGATTTTACAAGGTTTATTCACATCAAATGATACTTGAATCCATCTGTTTTCCTTTGATTTAATTGTTGTCACTCCAGCTTCAAATGCATTTCTTTTATCTACATTTAGAGTTATACTGGATGTCTTTGTTTTTTTGGTCATTATGTTTCAAAAGGAGGCGTCATATTCTGATATTCAGATTCTATAAATCTTGTTCTAATATGTGAATACTGCTTTGATTTTTGTTGTTGTCTTTGTTTTTTGTTTGTTTATCTCTGTAGCTTGAGGGAGAGGAAGTTCAAAGGATGGCTAAACGTCGTCTTGAACGTGAAAGAGGCCGCAAAGAAGCTACTGCTGATATGTCAGAAGACTTGTCAGAGGGGGAAAAAGGAGATACAGTCAGTGATTTGTCGGCTCATGGTGATAACACCAGGGGCCGATTACGTAGAATTAGCTCCGTTGAGACGATGGAGGCATGGGCTAGTCAACAAAAGGGGAAAAAGCTATACATTGTCTTAATAAGGCATGGACTGAACTCTGGTCATTTTTCAAATATTGTAATGAAGAGCACTTTGAAAATGATCAATTGTTACTGCAATAACGCATATCAATTACAAAAATTGTTTATTTATTCATGTTTTTAACATATAATTGATTTCTTTTGAGAACTAACTTGATGAGCTGAAAAACGATAAACCTTTTTTTATTTTATTTTATATTTTATTTTAAAGATATCAACATGTCCTGTAGTAATTCTGATATCAACATGTGCCTGCTTTATTAACTTATTCTTAGCTGTTGGTACTCTTGCAGCCTTCATGGTCTAATTAGGGGTGAAAATATGGAGCTTGGTCGTGATTCTGACACTGGCGGCCAGGTAGATATTAGCTGTAGGAGCTTTTAGATTCAATATCCTGATCAATTAACTCTGTTTGTGTCAGGTATAGTTGCTTGAGACAGTTAAAGACTTCCTTTTTTCTTCTTCTTTTTTTTTTTTTTTTTTGGGGTATTTTTTCTTCTTTTCTTTTAGGTCAAGTATGTTGTGGAACTTGCAAGGGCTTTGGGCTCAATGCCAGGAGTATATCGAGTTGATTTACTCACTAGACAAGTATCATCACCAGAAGTAGATTGGAGTTATGGTGAACCCACAGAGATGTTGCCTCCAAGATACTCTGATGGTTTGATGAATGAGATGGGGGAGAGTAGTGGATCTTATATTATTCGTATTCCTTTTGGTCCGAGAGAGAAATATATTCCAAAAGAATCTTTATGGCCTCACATTCCGGAATTTGTTGATGGTGCTCTTAACCATATCATACAGATGTCCAAAGTACTTGGTGAACAAATTGGCGGTGGGCAACCTGTATGGCCTGTTGCTATCCATGGTCATTATGCAGATGCAGGTGATGCCGCTGCACTTCTATCAGGTGCTCTAAATGTACCCATGCTTTTTACTGGTCACTCACTTGGTAGAGATAAGCTGGAACAGCTTTTGAGACAAGGTCGACTATCAAAGGATGAAATAAATACGACATACAAAATAATGCGTCGAATAGAAGCTGAGGAGTTATCCCTTGATGCCTCTGAAATTGTCATAACTAGCACTAGACAAGAGATAGCGGAGCAGTGGCGTTTGTATGATGGTTTTGATCCAGTACTAGAACGTAAACTGCGAGCCAGGATCAGGCGTAATGTGAGCTGTTATGGCAGGTTCATGCCTCGAATGGTTGTAAGTGTTTAGGATATCATTCTTAATTTACTATGACTCAGTTGCTTTTTGTGATAAAATTATTTTACTAGTAACCGTCCTCAGCGTGGCTTGCTCTCAATCCTTGCCATTGATGTTGAGGCAGGTAAAGCAGGTAACCTGCTGATGTTTGTTGTGACTCGGGGGTAAGTAATGCTAGTTTGTCAGATTTAGTACCTGAGCTGAGCTACAGTTGCTTCAGCGTGCTTAGCTTGATAAGACTTCATACATGCCTTTTCTTTTCCTACGGTATCTCATGTCTGTATTGAACTCACATATGAGGTTTTCAAGATGGAGGTCTCAAACACAGCAAATTGCAGCTAAATGCTTTGCATGAATCTGACAAATGAATTTCATTGTCTCTAATCCTAGTTGTAGAAATAAAGCTCTGAATGGGTATATAGAAATTATTAGTTTTTGTAATGTTTTGTCGACTGCATGCATCAAAATTGTATTAATGACTTAATTATTGGCAATAACCTTGACCAGTGACAGGATTTGTGAATAGAAATGATGAATTTTCTTGTGTTAAAAGTTAATCATTAATATATGTGCTAAATTTGAACGGAGCTTGGACTTGGGAAGAATCTGGTCTTTCTGATTGTATCCATTTTGTTTGACTCGTAGTAGCTTTGCCAAAATACTATGTAAGCCTGGCAATAATCACTGCCTGAGTTGGCTATACTTTACAACCCTGATTCATGAGTATATGTTAGCTCCCTAATTCTGTAATATGTTAGCTTAGCTCCCTAATCCCTGTCATGTGTATATGTTAGCTCCCCAATAATTTTCTCAATTCATGTGTATATGTTAGCTCCCTAATCCCTGTCATGTCATTTTTTGCTGGTATATGCACTTGACTACCTTGCTAGTTGGAAGTACGTTCTGTAATATTCCAGCTTTGTGCAGGTAATGCCCCCTGGGATGGAATTTCATCACATTGTTCCACATGATGGTGATGCGGAGGGTGAAACAGAAGCAAATGAAGATCAGCCTGCTTCTCCAGAACCACCTATTTGGCCTGAGGTTCCAGTCATTTCTCTTCATTTGCTTTGATGTGTTCCTAGAGTGATAACTTATCTGCAATGCAAGTCCTTCCAGATATAACTTTTTCACTAGGTTCCTCAACCCTCGAATTTATTATGAAATTCAATCCAATATATAAGTTGACATAATGATATGCAGATAATGCGCTTTTTCTCTAATCCACGCAAGCCTATGATACTTGCTCTAGCTAGGCCAGATCCCAAAAAGAATCTGACAACTCTGGTTAAAGCATTTGGGGAATGTCGGCCTTTAAGAGAGCTGGCTAATCTGGTACTTTTGGATCACCTCTAAGTTTGTAACACAATTTATTTATTTATTTATTTATTTTTGGAATGGATCTACTTGACTGTGCAAAGCTGCTGAATTTGCTTTGACATTAAGGCTCTTCTGTCGTCTGTATTTTGCAGACCCTAATAATGGGTAACCGAGATGATGTTGATGAAATGTCAAGCACTAGTGCTTCACTTCTTCTCTCAATTCTTAAGCTTATTGATAAGTATGATCTCTATGGTCAAGTGGCGTACCCAAAACACCACAAGCAGTCTGACGTTCCTGACATCTACCGTCTGGCAGCAAAGACAAAGGTACTCCATTTATAGTTTGTATGCCATAGTAGGTTAGATATGGATCGATAGTGTAAACTTCAAAATAGTAAGCGGATAAATTTTAGTTATGCAATTTATATGACACTTCTACTGTCCTGTGTGGTTCAACTGGATTACTGTGTTCCAGTTTCCATACAAGTCTGCCATAACTGCACTCATTTTGTCTTCCAAACAATATATTAGTATAGTATGCTTTATAACTACGAATTTCTTCGTGATTGTGCTATCAAGTTGCAACTCTTTAAAGTGTCCATCATCAAACTTATCCCTGGCAGATTTATTTATTTATTTTTTTAATGTTTATGAGAAAAAAATTTATTTTTTATTTTATTTTTGTAGGATGTTAGTTTTTGTTAGTAAAGTTAGATTACAACTTAAGGAGTTTGCCATTGCCCCATCAACTCGAACCCTTGACCTTCCCCCCACCACACCCCTAAGGTGTAGCTATAAGACCACTAGGCCAAACCCAAGGTCTTATGAAAGAGTTAAATCATGATGGGGTTGCATGAAATTCTATTAGAACCTTTCAGTTTTCAATACCAATGTCAGTTTTCTTGGTGGTGATTGTTGAAGACAGCACATTTGCATTTTGCATCTTGAGGTTGTGAATGCTTGTTGCTTTGCTATTACTATTATTATATATTCTTTCTTCTTAAATGGCTTGGCTTGGCTCTCTAGTGTTTGTGCTGTTCAAGCATCCGTTAATTTCTTTTCTGCAAATTGAATTTAAAATCAATCCTTGGTGGAAAATAAATGCCATGCATGCTTTTTATCAACAACAAAATGACACTTGTCTCTATTCAACTTAATGGGAATTTTGTATTCCCTTTCTCTTGTTTGGGTTGACTTGTGTGATCAACAAACAAGTTAAGGAATATACATTCTATTCTATCATGGAATCACCTTAAAAGTGTCTGTTGTCTCTCGTTTTTTGCTTGCCATTGCTACCACAATTATGACCACCCCTGTCACCACCATTGTTGCTACCCCCACCCTAGTAGTCTACTACCGCTACCTTTTCCACTGCCATTACCTTTTCATGTGCATCAACATTGCAAAGTAAATATGACATTAATGTAATAGTGGTAATTCTACACTAGTTTATCACAACCCAGTACATGCACACTTCCTGATATGCATTTACTAACTTGTTTTAGAATATTTTGAAGGTTAAAAAAAAAAAACTTAGTTTCAAAACAATTTAAATCAGGAGAACAACTTAGTTTTAGTGAACAAGATCAAAGGCTCGGAATATTAGATAAACTGAGGCAGTAGTGGTGCTTTGATGGGTGGCCTGAGATTGAGGAGAAACTGGCTTCAGATGTGATACACAGGGAGAGTAATGGATGTGACGAGGTTTGTGATAGTGAACAACAAGAAGACTGGAGTGAAGATGGGCAAGGAAGAGGGAGCGGAATTTTAAGATAGGGAGAACAAGTTGGTCGTTGTAGTGAGGGGCTGCCTCGGTGAGAGAGAGAGAGAGGATAGACGGTGATGATGGTAGAGGGGAAAAAGAGGAGAGAGAAAGGAATAGTGAGAGAAAAAAGGGAAGTTACAAAGGTTGAAGATGAGAGTGTCAAGGTAATTTCATTTGTTTAGTTAATTCTGTTAAGAGACAAACATGGAGCGAGATCAGTGTAATGATTTAGAATGTGAGGGGGGGAATTTGTATTTATCAAAAATCTTAAGGGAGATTTATAATTTACACTAAAAAATAACCGGGGCAATTTTATAAACAAATTTTAGGGCGAATTACACTAATAGTCCTATAATTTGGGGCTCATGTCATTTTGATCATTGACTTTTCAATTGTGACACATTTGAACCTGAATTTTGAATTTTGTTCCAAATAAGGACAACTGAAGATACCATTGCACAATTTCAAGGGCAAAGTCGTCAATTTGATAAAATATAGACTAAAGCCTCGTTTGGCAAGAGGCTATTTTAGCCAATTAGCCAAAAAGTTACTAAATTAGCCAAAAAGCCAACAACCCATACAAAAAAGTCAAAAATTCTCTTTTCTCTCTACTTTTTGCACATCTTTTCGTAATTAGCCAAAAAGTCATCCCAAACATACAAGTTTTTTTTACCTACCTTTTTAGCCAAATAGCCAAAAAGTTACTAAATTAGCCTGTTCCCAAACGATGCCTAATTTGACAAAAATAAAAGTCAAAAAAATATTTTTTTAATTTTTAAAAATTATTTCTATCCACCAAAGATAAAATTATGTAAAATTGATAAATTTTTTACACATTTATTTATTTATTTTTTTTACCAAATTAATTTTTATTGTATTTGGATGATAATCATGTAATGGGTGGTTGTTTTTATTTTCATTAAATTAGTTTCTATTTTTCAAACTCAAATATGGTGACAACTTTGATATCATTATTAAACCAATCCATTAAATTAAAAAATCCAAAACTAAAAACATTTTATACATTAAATATATCGATTGCACATTAAAAGCTTAACAACCACCCATTACATGATTATCATCCAAACACATAATAAAAATTAATTTGGTAAAATAAATAAATAAAAAAATAAATGTGTAAAAGATTTATCAATTTTACATAATTTTATGTTTGATGGGTAGCAATAATTTTTAAAAATTCAAAAATATGTTTTTGACATTTATTTTTGTTAAATTAGTTTATATTTTATCAAATTGACGACTTTGTCCTTAAAATTGAGTAACGATATCTTCAATTATCCTTATTTGAAATAAGATTCAAAATTTAAGGTCAAATGTGTCACAATTGAAAAATTAGTTTCTATTTTTCAAACTCAAATATGGCAACAACTTTGATATCATTATTAAACCAATCCATTAAATTAAAAAATCCAAAACTAAAAATATTTTATATATTAAATATATCGATTGCACATTAAAAGCCTAACAACCACCCATTACATGATCATTATTCAAACACTTAATAAAAATTAATTTGGTAAAATAAATAAATAAATAAATGTGTAAAAGATTTATCAATTTTACATAATTTTGTCTTTAGTGGGTAGCAATAATTTTTAAAAATTCAAAAATATTTTTTTGACATTTATTTTTGTCAAATTAGTTTATATTTTATCAAATTGACGACTTTATCCTTGAAATTGAGTAACGATATCTTCAATTATCCTTGTTTGAAACAAGATTCAAAATTTAGAGTCAAATGTGTCACAATTGAAAAGTCAGAGACCAAAGTGACACGAGTCCCAAACTACAGTGACTATTAGTATAATTCGCACCGAATTTTAATATCATTTTGTATTTGGTTTCAAAAGATGAGATTTCCGTTTGTTATGCTAAGAAATTGTAATATCATGGAGACACAATGGTAGAAAAATGACACAGCGGAATACACACAAAACTAGATATCATTCTAGTAAACAGAGACTCTAGAACCCACAAGAAAGGAACCCTTGAGAATCCACAAGCAAAATAGAGTAACTTGAAAATTAGATGGATAGAGAATGCCTTGGCCGCTAGGTTTACATGACTATTTATACTAGATAAAATCTTGGTGACCAAGCATACTTGTAAACCAAGGAAAATATAAGAAAATAATAAACTAAGATAATACTGGTCTTGGTCATCAAGTATACTTGGAGACCAAGTACTACAAGAAAGTAACTTTGGTCACCAAGGAAAATATAATCCTTGCTCACCAAGGAAAAATTATTTTTTAAAAGATTCTTGGTAGCCAAGTAAAATTGTCCAAAATTATCATTTCACTTTTGGTCAATAATTTGATTTCATTGACTTGTGTTTGTCCAACTGTCTCAAGAAATTTGCAACCACTTTTTCTACATCAAAAAATATGTTGTTTTTGGGGGGCCACTGGACTGGAGGTTTTCCCGGTCATTACCTTCAGGGCCCCAAGATTGGTCGAGGTGCACTCAAATTGGCTCGGACACCCAGTTATCAAAATAAATAAATAAATAAAATGTTGTTTTTATTCAGAATTGCAATAACAAGGACATTTGGGAGGAAGTTTTTGCAGAAATAATAATCAGGTATGACAATGCACTAGCTAATAGGAAGTTATGAGTCAGAGGAGAAAGTAAGTTTAGCTATAGACAATTAAGGAAGTTAAGATTTGCTTGTCAATAAACTGCAGATAAATAGGAAAATGACATTTCCTAGTGTTCTCCTAGTTAGTTGAAGTTGGATATGAAAAAAATATAACAAATGAGATTCAGTCATTATCTAAGACGCACGAACATGGATATGTGACACGACACGAATACGACATGGACAAGCTGACATGACAATTTTTAAAAAATGTAGGATACGACACGTGGGGGAAATGCACGGAATATGTAATTTTATATATTTATTATGTGCCATATATATGAATATATCATTCTAAGATAATAAATAAATGCAAATATATTACTAATTTTTATAAGTTGACATTAATTTTCTTTTATCATCGTATTCTAAGTTATTTTGTTTGAACTTATACTCCTTCTGTCCCAAAATAATGGTCCATTTTGGGGAATCCAACTTTTTTTTATAGTACAATTATTGCATTTTTAAAAATTGATTTTTCAAAATTACCCTTTAATAGTACATTTTTTGGAAAATATCAATGTCATAATTGTACTTTTTATGTTGTTAATGAATTTAAAAGAAGGGCAAAATAGAAAATTTATATTATTTTTATACTTGATTTTTTAAAAAGGACTAATATTTTAAGACAATGAAAAATGGAACAAGGGACTAATATTTTGGGACGGAGGGAGTAAGTAGTTTCATGTGTGTCTAATCAATGGACACGTGTGTTTAAGCAATGGATACATGTGTCTTCCAAGTGTCTAAAGAGTGTCCGAGTCTAAATTCTTTTTTAAAAAGTAGGACACGTTTGGATGAGTGTCAGATAAGTGTCGGGAAAGTGTCCGATGAGTGTCAGTATTCGACACGGACATGCCACCTTTTTATAAGTGTCCGTGTTAGGTCATTATGGCATTGTCAAAACTGCTAGGGACAAGGAACTCAAATTCTATACTGCAAGCTATTTGCACCCACTTATAGTTAAGTTCACTAACCCTTTGTATTTTAGATCATTTGACTTGGCATCTTAACTTTGCACAAAGTTCTCTTAAGATTTTTTCACATTTAAGAGAGGATAAACTTTATCAAGGCATAAGATGAAATAAGAAAAATTTTAAGGTATGACTTTTGGTTTTTTGGAATTGTAGTCATTTAATGCTAGCTTCTCTCTTTCCTTGGGAAGGGGCATGGGGTACAAAAGTCCCGTTAAGGTGGCCGTCTTTGTCTGTTGTGTTAGGTATGGGAATGCTCTTACTATTGTCAACTTGATTAGAAGAAGGCAAGTGCATGATAATTGGTGTTGCATGTGTAAGCATGATGAGGAATTTATGAGTCATCTTCTTATCCATTGTGAGGTGGCACGAGAGTTGTGGTCTTTTGTTGTTGTCACGTTTGCTGTCATTTGGGTGTAGGTGTGCAATTTGGGCAGGCCCAACATGAGAAACCCAAGTCCAACCTGGATTTTTTTAGGGATTGGGAAATATATTTTTGAGCTTAGTGCAGGCTTCGGTAGCAATTAAGAAGTTCAAATTGAATTTGGATTGGGCTACATCAAACAACTTGAAGCTCGAATTGTACATATAAATATATGAAAATATTAAATATACATGTAGAATATTGATAATTTAGTTAAGCTAAAGTTATCTAGACTGTTGGATTAACATATAGATATCGTATCTCATATACACACACACTAATCCTCTCTTTCTCATTTGCATCGCAAGTTTGCAACGCTCTTGACCCTCTGGCTCTTTTCTCTACTCTAACTATATATTCAGTCATTCAGTGTATTGTTACACTAATGTTTGTTATGTTGTTAGGTTATTTTGGTAAAAAGTTTATTTTTTTTATTTGTTTTAATGCTATTTATGATTTTGTGAAAAAAGTATTAATAGGGCCCAACCTCAAAAATTAACCAGCCTAGCTAATTTGTGGGCAATTTTGGTTGGGCCTAGACAACCCCTTAACTTGCTTGAACGCGCTTGAGTTACACTGCTATTTGGGTGTTCCCAAGGAAGGGGGAGCTTCTTTACTCATAGAGAGGAGCTTGTGCGAGGAAGAGGGAGGCTTGGTGTTTGGTCGTTATGGATTGTTTGGTGTGAAAGGAATAGGACTTTTGTTGGCAAAGAAGAATCTATTTTGAGAATTAAGAGCAAAATTATCCTTTCTTGTATAGTTCTTGGGAATGGTTAAATTTTGTAGAGACCATTGAATAAATTTTAGATGTGTAGTTGACAGAGGTCTTCTTTGTATATGGGATGCACCAACCACTCAGTGCCTCTCTTGTAAAATAATTTTATACATAGAAAAGAATTTACTAAAGTCTGGAAGGTGGTGATTGTGGAAGACTGAACTTTCAGGCTTAATGCACGTCAGGTGCTGTAACTGTTTGTCTTTGCTGTCTCTTCCTTGGTCACTCCTATTAAAGTTTGATTTACAAAGTATTTATTTTGCTCTACTTGAGGTCAATCACCTATTGGGGATCCTGTATGGTCTGACATGATCATATTTCCAATCAAGAATTTGTGTTTTGTAGGCTTAATATGGGCATTGGATGTGCTATGTAATTATGTTAAAGTTGAACTTTTTGAAATTTATTTCATCGAGTGTCACCTCAAGGGATTTGCATGGAGCTGGGCAGTCTTGTTATCCATGAAAGGAAACATATGGGTTTTCCTTTTTATTTTTTGTCTCTGTGTGGGTGAGAGGTTTGGTTAGAGGAAGTATGGGAAGATGGCGGGCACTTCAATGGCTTGAGATCATCGGAAGTGGAGAGAAGGAGGTCAAGGCAAGCTTGGAGAGGGAGGTTGGCGGTGATGGACCTTGAACAGTGATGTAGAGTGTGAGAGTGGGGTGTTTAAGCGTGGGACGTAGTGTGTTACAATTACGGAGTTGTGTTGTGGTTTTGCTGCATATACGATACGTTATATAGGCCGTAGGAGTATTGGAGCCCAAGCAAACTGTTGAATAGGTGACTCGTTCTCCTCAACTCTGTCAGAAGTGACATAAGCCCTTCTGCCGTCTTTGGCAGGCGGAGAGCAACGTTTCATGGCAGGCGGAAAGTAACGTTTTGTATATGCATCGGATGACATGAATGTAAGGTCATTGTTGCCTCTTCTCCAAGCTTGGTCAAGATGGAGTTGTTTTAACAAGAAGACAACCATCTCGTCGATCCCATGACCTCAACCGCCAGTCCAATATCCTCTGATGATCCCGAGCAGTGGTGCCTGGGTCCTGCTCCCAACCCAGACATTCAAGTAGGTGAATGGGCTAGGGCCCACCTCGGTGTTCAGGAGAGCTAGGGGCTTGCTTCCAAGCGACCAAGTAGGAGAATGGGCCGCGTGCCTATCTCAATGTTTAGGAGAAGGGCTCACTTCTAAGCGACCAAGTAGGAGAATGGGCCGCAGGCCTATCTAAATGTTTAGGAGAGCCAGTGGTTATCAATCCAAGTCCAAGTGAACCGGGAGCTGATTATATTGTTGTTTGGTCTTGGAGCGAGGTATGAAGGACCATGGGCCCCGCGGGGCCATGGTGCTGCCTGTTGCAGGGCTCTTCATATTTAGGTATATTTGGGCTTATGTGTATGCTCCCACTTAGGCTAAGCATACAGTCTTGGTTTTGCGTGGTGCCTTGGCACATGGTGCCCGTAGGGCTCGCCATGTATCAAACATATGACATGCCCACGTGGTGCTTTATTGGTCTGCCACGTGGGTGGGGTTTTAGTGGTGTGGCACGCGTATTGGGCTTGATACAGGTACCTACACTACGTTAACTATTTTTTATAATCCATAAGATATTTCCATTCCATACCTAGGTTTTACATGTTTCTATTGTTGTTTTCTCTTATTGTAGTGATTGGTTCATAATAGACAGCTATTTGACATAAATTTCAGGATCTTTTTTTCACATTTAGTCGTGCATACTAAAGCTTGTACACTAATTAAATTCGTTCCATCCTTTAAGATTCCCTCTCTTGAAATGCTCGTAATGACCTTTTGAGACTAAGTTCTAGTATTATTCATACTGTTTTGGTTAGTTAATTCATTTATGTTATTTATATCTACCTGTTCTTTTTATAGCAAGTACTCTAGGAAATGAGAAACCACATTTCTGACATTTCTACATGAGATTGAGTAAACTGAAAAAAGTGAAGAAGGCCAATCTTTGTGGATGGAGGGAGTATAATGCCTATTTGTTTTATATAGTCTGACCAAAGGTAATTTGTTATCATTGGACTATAATAGCATGTATGGAGTCAAATGATGAGTCATATGCTAAGTTTGTTTTAGTTCATTTGTCTGGTATATCTACTCTCTCTCTCTCAGATGAATATGTTATCTTATTCTGCTACCACATTTTGGCAGGGTGTTTTCATTAATCCAGCTTTCATCGAGCCGTTTGGGCTTACTCTAATTGAGGTACACTTCTTATACCTATGAATCTCTCATCTTTCACTAGTTAGTTCACTATTAACCCGTATAACTGCTCCATTTAACAGGCAGCAGCTTATGGTTTACCAATTGTCGCGACAAAAAATGGAGGTCCTGTTGACATACATCGGGTATGTGATATGTCAACAATTCACTTTCATTTTATTAATCTGGATATATATTTTTTTTCATCTTATAATGAAGTGTGAAAATTATATCTATTAGATTTCCTGTATATCTGTTGCAGGTACTTAACAACGGTCTCCTTATAGACCCCCATGATCAGCAGTCTATAGCTGATGCTCTTTTAAAGCTGGTTTCAGACAATCAACTTTGGGCAAAGTGCCGGCAGAATGGGTTAAAAAATATTCACCTCTTCTCATGGCCAGAACATTGTAAAACTTACCTATCCCGAATAGCGAGTTGCAAACTGAGGCAGCCATGGTGGCAAAGAAATGATGATGGGGATGAGAATTCTGAGTCAGATTCACCAAGTGATTCCTTGAGAGATATATCTTTAAATTTAAAGTTTTCAATGGACGGAGAAAAGAATGAAGGCAGTTACAATGCTGATAGTTCTTTAGAATCTGAAGATCGCAAGAGCAAGTTGGAGAATGCTGTTTTGACATGGTCAAAGGGTGTCCAAAAGGGCACGCAAAAGGCTGGCTTTACAGAGAAAGCAGATCAGAACAGCAGCGCTGGTAAGTTCCCAGCGTTGAGGAGGAGAAAGCATATTATTGTTATCGCTGTGGATTTTGATGCTATAACAGATCTTTTTGAAAGTGCTAGAAAGATATTTGACTCTGTGGAGAAGGAAAGGACTGAAGGCTCTGTAGGATTCATATTAGCAACATCCTTTACTCTGTCTGAAATACAATCTTTTCTCATCTCGGGGGGGCTGAGCCCTACTGATTTTGATGCTTTTATCTGCAATAGTGGTGGTGACCTCTACTATTCATCTCCTAACTCAGAGGATAACCCTTTTGTGGTTGACTTATATTACCACTCACATATTGAATATCGCTGGGGTGGAGAAGGGTTGAGGAAGACTTTGGTACGTTGGGCGGGTTCTATCACTGATAAAACGGGTGAAAATGAAGAGAAGATTGTTACAGAAGATGAAAAGATTTCAACCAACTATTGTTATGCTTTTAAAGTGCAAAAGACAGGAAAGGTAAACTTACTTCTTGTCTACTCATGAATGACTTTCTCATGAAATGGCTGGTTAAATTTACTTTACCTAACCCCTAAGGTGTTTATCAAGCAGAGCAGCTCAAGATTGACTTGAGTTTGACTTGGATACAACTTGTTTTGAAACAAGTCGAGTCAAGCTCAAGCTTGAATTTAGAGCTCACTGGGTAAGCTAGCCGAGCTGGAACCATCTTTGATTCTTGTCACATGAGGCGAATAGCCTAATAAAGTCTCTTTTTGTTCTTCATCTTGTAGCAAGACATTAATGTCCTTAACATTTTATTTATTTGACCACAATATTATCTTAAAATTTGGTACTGAAGTGAGCAACTGAACAGAGCTGACCCAAGCCGAGTCATTTGTTGATCAGTGTATTAGACAATTTGCTGAGCATGAGCAAGACTTCTTGATATTTATGAGCTTGAGCCAAGCTTGAACATTATTGAGATCTGAGCTGAGCTTGGCTTACATCATCTACACTACACGTGCAAATTATTCTCATGAGAGGACTTTTTCCCTTAGTTTTAGTTTTATGATATTGCTGATAATCATAGATTTATTTTCAGTATTCTCATTTGAGTTGATGCTTGTTGAGTTGAATTTAGAGATATACATTGTAATGTAATTAAGGTTACAGGTTCTTGGTGTGCATCATCAGATATCATTCTTCTTCTTCTATTACTATTATAATTGTTTCATCTTCACAGGTTCCGCCTGTTAAGGAAATTCGGAAATTAATGAGAATTCAGGCTCTCCGTTGCCATGTTATTTATTGCCAAAATGGGCATAAGATCAATGTAATTCCAGTATTGGCATCTCGTTCCGAAGCCCTAAGGTATGGCTCTTACACTCACACTTACTTTAACTGTTAACTTAGTTTCTTTTTGTGATTAGTTGATCTTTAATCATTTCGCAATAACCTCAGCTGTTTTTATTTTTTTATTTTCCCAAGATGATGCAAAATAGTAAGTTACCCATCTGATTATTATTGTTGATCTCAACCAATATTATCATTGGTTGTTTTCATCATCGTCATATATATTTTTTCATTTTACAGAGTTAGGCTTGATAATGCTGAATGTCATAGTCAATCATCTCCATCATCACGATGATTTTTATCATCTCAATGTGATCACCACTATCATCTACGATTTTTCACAGTTTGACAAAACTCAACTTGACAATGTCAATACTTGGGCTAATAGTCGAGACAAATGATTTTAATGTACAAAACTGCATAGTCAAGATTCAAGACAACTAAATGCAGTTTCCTTTTTTGTGCCACACAAAATGATATTACCATGATAAGTATTGTATCTCATCTATCATCTCTCAATTTTTGAAAATGACCTTTAGTTGATGAAACAAGAAAGATGACATTTAAAATGTCTTGGATTTTATGGTATTTAAATGGTTGGATGGGAAGTGAAAAAAGATGAGAGTTAGGTTTTCTTTGTGTGACTATGTAAGTTAAATAATAATGCTATGATGATTACATTATTTTACTCTTATATTATATATCATGTGACGCGTCACTACTGTATTGGTAACCGATGAGTGGTGGGACTCATTAAATCAATGAAATGATAACATATAAGATGGTAGACAAATTATGATAAGATAATGTGGTCGTCATAATATTATTGGTTAATAAAAATGAGATCAAAATATGTTAGTCGTTTTATCTTTGATAAACTAAAAGACTAGAGGGGCCCACTTTAAGGATCTTTATTTTAAAAAAATAAAACATACATATGTTTTTTATTTTTTTGAAAATTGTTCAAGGGGTACATAAGTATAAAACGGGAAAGACTAAAGGACAAAATTGAATAATCAAAAAATGTAAGTTGGGAGAAAAGAAAGGAGAAATTATGTTCGCACACCACAAGACATCTCAGTATACACCATTTGTGTCGTTAACGTTTGGACATAAACTTATAAACAAAAATAAATTGTTCAGATATATATTTTGTTTAACTATTTAAGTCCAAACAACTACTTTATGTTCATAAATTTATGTCAAAACATTTGACTTTTGTTTGGAAGTTTATATCCAAATGACATAAATAGTGTGTATTGAGATTTTTTGTGGTGTGCAAATAGAATTACCCAAAAAAAAGTGCAGTTGCTGTTTTCATAAGAGGTAATAGATAATTGGGTCCTGATAATACTATTTAAATATGAGGCAGTGACATGCTCCATAAAGTTTGGGAGCAGATTGAGTAATATGAAACTAAAATTTTGTATGAGAATTGCCCTTCCAATCTAAATGACACAGATGACCTTTGTATGGATTTCTTGCAGAGTTTACCTCTCATATTTTTTTGGTATTTTTTAGTTGTTGTTTCACTTATTTAGATTTTACATAATTAGTACCTTTTCTTTTGGAAAAAGAGAGATTGGGCTTGCCTCTCAATGTGGCATCTATTATGTCTTGCTTCGCCCTAAGTAATTATAACAGTATAGAAAAAAGAAAAAAAAAAAAAAAGAGTAGCGAAACCAGTGGCAATATGATATATATCTCGACAGCTATTGCTAATTCAGTGAAAACAATTAATGACAATGTTCGACATTTTTTGATGGAATTTTTAGTCGAATTTTTATCACAAGTTTATGACTAGCTATTTGAACCAATGCCTCAAGGTTATATTGCTTGCCTGTATGTGGGAAACTTTTGCTTTGGATTTAGCTTTAGGAGGACAGGATATTCAATCTTGAATTGTGACTTAATGTTACTTCCCCTAGTTTGCTTAATCATTGTCAGCCTATGCTCTTAAGTGTCATTTGGACCATGGATAACAGTTAGACATCCATTGTGTTGTATCAGTTGGACTTTCCATGTGGACAAATTGAGCAGTCAAGACGATGACGCATTGCATCACCTAGAGATGCCATGTGGTGACCTGATTTACCATGTCATTTCAGCTAGAGTCCAATCAACTCAGGACTTGGAGTGAGTGTGGCTGTTTTGATGATAAGTTATTGCTCCTGGAGACCGCTTTAGGACCTATGTTACTTGGAACGTGGATCGTTCTGGTACATAAAACGGGAATGCGATATGCCACATGATCTAAAATGTGATACGATAGGGGTATACTTGTATATATTATACTTAAGAATTTAAAGTTCTTCTGAGTAATTTTTTTTTAAACTATTAAAATGTAATATTTTCTATGAGCATTATGACCCATTTTTGATTTTTTGTCTTCTCAAAACTTAACTCACCTGAGATTTTAGTTCATTATATTTGATTTTTTTCCTCCTAAGGCAACATTTAAGGACATTTATTGAAAAAAAACTTTTGGGATCGTTTTGAACCACTAAATTTACTTTTTTGGAACGAAAGTGTACCATGTTTCGGAACGCACATATCAATATGTAATTCACTATGGTATTAGCGTTTTCTAGTAACATAGTTTAGGACACCTTGATACTTTATGCGTCCCAGGGACGAGAATGGAGCCCAAGGAACATATAGCCCTAGAAACCTAAATGAAGCTTGATGCATCGGTAGTAAGGCAAGCCACTTCAGCAATTGAGTCACCTTTATTATGCATGCACGCCTCTACTTTCCCTCCTCTCGTAACAGTGTAAAGGTACACTTTGGCACCTTTTGCCTTGAGATACTACGAGGATGTTGTCTTGGCTAAGGCCTCTACTAAACTGTGCTAGGGCAAAACCTCCCTTGGTTGGCAGGTGGCACACTCATTTCTAATTAGGGAGGCACCCTTTATGTTGGTTTATTAGATGGAAAATTAAGTTGCTCAACTATTGTGGGACACATGTAATCCATTGTGTGGATCACATTGCTGCAAGATGTTTGCTCTGTTGAACTCATTAATGTACCCTCGGGGCACTGTAGACCTCAATACTATGGCCTTATAGGCTAAGCAGGTTCCTGTAGAGGATATAAATGTTTGAGTCGCACCATCTTTAGAAGCTAATAGACCTCAATACTAGAGAATCAGAGGTTCTGCAGGCTCCTGGGGCAGATACAATTGTTCACGTCATGCCCTTTTAAAAAGCTTGAGGGTGTAATTTGTTTCATTTATATTGTTTTTGTTTCATTTATACCCGTTTTTGGGTTTTTGTTTGTGTTTTCAGAAATAAAAATGACAAGGAATTGGAATACATGATCGCTTTCATTTTTAAAAGAAAGTCTGGCAAATAGTTTTTGAAAACAAAACCAAATGTGCTTTAAGCTTTGTTGATAATTGATTGCATGAGTTTGTACCAACGAAGGCAAGGATTTGTGTTTGAATCTCACCGCCTCTCGATACAAATCTCACCGCCTCTCGAATTAATCTAAAACATCCACGTGTTTGGCTCACTCATAGTAGGGGCTAGCCACAAGTAAGAGGGTATGTTGAGGATATGAACAATTACGTTAAACCCTCTTTTGGGGCAATCATCACCCGACAGCTCCCACTGCCTTGCAACCCTAGCTCAAAGTTTGGGACATGTATAGTGTTGAGTCACTGATTTTCCCAAAAGCTTAAGCTGTTAAAAAATGGGCCCAACAATATATATCAAGTACCCTCTCTCACATGCTACTCCCATCTTGCATGTAGAGAGACAAATGGAAGGAGAAGTAAACAACCAAATAGAGAAGAAGAAACCAAACGGGGATAGAATATGAAATGCCAATGTAGAGACTTGAACCCAGGACAGCTTTCCACCTGAGCTTTCATACCATGTTAAGTCACCTGATTTTCCCAAAAGCTTAAGTTAGGAAATGAGCCCAACAATGCATATCAAGCTATCCAACTTATAGATTACCTTTTGAGGTTGAATATTCGAATGGATTCTTGATCTTTTGAGCCTACCTACTGTCACTTGCACTCCTGGTTTCCCTTTGGTTAGTGTTGCCTTCCCTTCAGCTACACCTCACTTGCATCTTATTGTATGTGGCACTATAACTCAGTCTAAAACAGATAGGAAAGTGCATGCTATCATGGAAGGTTTGCATTGGTATGACTATCAAGAGATTTCTCCTGCTATGCTAGTTGTCACTGTCAATTCTTGTCGACTTGATTTGAAGTTGACCCTAAATTTGCGGTGGCCCAGCTGGGTTTCTATATAAACTCTCCGGTGGGCAATGCTAGCTAGAATTGATTCATAGCAAGAATTTTGCTGGTTAAATTTTGTCCTGGTTCCAAAGGGGAGGTTCCCTTTTAACAAATGTAAATTTATGGCACTGAGAAGGGAAGAAAGGGCAAGGTTTGTTAGTTTTGAACTGGAACTTTCCATCATTTTGGAATTGTGTTTCTTGGAGTTGTAGAAGCTCTTCAAACTAGGTGTTAAGAATCACAATATAGGTGTTTTACTATTTTTAATACCACTCAATACTTTGAGCCAGATCTGTTTTGCAACCTTCATTTCTATATCATAGGCCACTAGTTAGTTGTTCATTTTTGTTGATGGCTGAACCCAGATGTGCTGGTTAAATCGTTTTAAGTTGACACTTCAATAGGTTGTTAAACAAACCTCAATTTATGTATAACCAATTTAAAAACAATTTTACTGAAATATACCCTTGTTATACTTGTGTTCAAATTCCTTATTTATAGATTCTTGGAGAATTGTCTGATATTTATATTTTATCTCAAGCTGGCATTTTAATTAGAATTGAACTTATGACTGTTGGTTGTTTCTCTTTAGGTTTGATAACTGGTAATTGTGAAGCATGTTTTCATGTTCTAAAGGAATTTTTTCGTATCCCTCACCTGGAGTATCATTGTTTATCAATGGGAAAACTTTTAAATTGCAGCGATGTGGATTTGAGCTGCGTGGTTAAATGTTTATACTTCTGTGTTTGCAAATGGCATTTTTTTGTTTATTCATTGTGGATTATGATTCAAGATTCCATGTAGGAAAAAAAGTGTGTCTAGTCCTTCAGTAAATGTTCAACAATTAGGAACAGTTTTAGATTGTTTAAATGTTGAGAAGTGAGCACCTGTCGCATGTTAATATTTCCATTATTGATCCGTCACTGCATCATTGAACTTTTTATGAAACTTCGTAATTAAAAACACATTCTATCTAGGTATCTCTATCTCCGTTGGGGTGTGGACTTGTCAAAAATGGTTGTTTTTGTCGGAGAGAGTGGGGACACAGATTATGAAGGATTGCTAGGTGGTATACACAAGTCCGTAATATTGAAGGGAGTTTGTAGCAGTGCAAGCACTATACTCCATGCCAACAGAAACTATCCTCTTTCCGATGTCTTGCCATTCGACAGCCCCAACATTGTTCAGACAACCGAAGAATGCAGCAGCGCTGATCTCCGGACTTCATTGGAGAAATTCGGCCTCCTCAAGGGCTAAAAATTTGCACCAGCACCCTTTGTATCATGCTTTGGAGGTGGTATTTTATGTAGGGGGTACATTATGGTAGTGTACTCTTCTATCTCACACTTGTGAAGCCCACATGTTTGTGAGAGGGAGGGGGGTACATCACTGGTATACCCATACCTGAAGTTGGCTTTGGTTTTGGGTTTTTAGTGAGATCTGGTAGCTATCTATTATTGTTTTTTTGTTTCTTTGGTCCTGAAAACAATATTTTGTTGCTTCTATTGGCATAAAAGCCAACTTTTCTTGTATAGCCGTCGTAACTTTTTTTTTTTTTTTTAAAAGTTTCATGGAGCCCTTTGGTCATACAGGATGAAGCAAATAATATATCAAATTATTATATTAAATAAATGTGAAGATTGAGTTTTTATTTATTTATTTATTTTAAGGCCTACAAAGAAAGGAGAATCTATTCCTATCAGATTGAGTTTTTGTTTTTGTTTTTTTGAGGCCTAGAAGGGAAAATCCTTATGCTCTCTCTCTCTTTCTCACTCACACACACAATTGCATTCAATGATGTACATCAGCAGTAACGATCTTTGTTGCTCCATGAATTTGCCATCTGGTAACTGTCCCTTCATCTCAAATATCTGAGTTTGAGCATCTTCTAGAAGACATTGAAGTCCTGTTGCAGACATTTCTTTTCTTAATCTTTACCAAGCTTTTTTTCTAAACCAGCGAAGAGAATAGTCCAGCAACTAGTAGGAAAGGAGAGAGAGAATGGAGATCAAGGGAAGCAACATAGAAGGGAAAAATGTAGAGAGACAGAGGTGAGGGGCTTATCAGAAATTGCAGTCGGATGGAGGAGGGAGAAGAGGGTGGCGGCGGCGGTGGTAATGGTGGCTCGAGGGTAGGAAGAGGTGGTTGGACAATGAAAATGAGGAGTGAAAAAAAAAATGATTACATCATTATGGCTCTTAGAAATGGTTGAATTTTTGGTATTTCCCTCAAAAAAATGGTTTAATTACCTGACTTTCTGCCCAAAAAATGCAGTAGGTTCTATTTATTGTATTAAATTGATTTAACTTAAAAATTCAAATATAATATTGACACTATTAAAAATACATCAAATTGATGCAAATTGATGTAATTAAAAATATAGAGATCAAAATCATGTGAAACACAAACTATGAGGAGTATTGTGTAATTTGTTCTATTTTCAAATAATGCAAGAATTGAAAGAAATGTTATCAAATCGACATAAATTAAAAAAATTTAAAGATAAAATTGACACAACTGAAAATATAGAGATCAAATTGACAAAAAAAGACAAACTATGGGAATTACTATATTTTGTAGAAGCCTAGGGTATATCCCTTGTCGACTTATATATTTTACTGTTTTATTTTATAATTGATTTAAACCAACCAAACCAAGCTTTAAGTCCCATCAAATGGAAACGGTTGCATGAATCATTCTTCTCCACTCGATTCTATCTAAGGCCATTTCGTTAGTCAAATTAAGAAGATTCATATCTCTATTTACTACACTAATCTACATTAATTTAGGTCTATCCTTTCCCCTAACACTCTCATCTACCGTCACTGTATCACATCTCTTCATTATTGCCTCTGTTGGTTTTCGTTATATATGACCAAACCATCTCAATCTATTCTCTCCCAACTTATCTTCTATTGGTACTACACTTACTTATTCTCGAATATATTCATTTCTAACTCTGTCTTTTCTAAACTTGCCACACATTCACCTTAACATCCTCATCTCAGCAACACTCATCTTATCTGCATGTTGTTTCGTACTTGCCCAACATTTTGTCCCATACAACATCGTTAGTCTAATAGCTATTCTATAGAACTTTCCTTTTTAGTCTAATGGGTACTCGTTTATCACATAATACTCTAAACGCACTCCTTCATTTAAGTCACCCCGCCTTAATTATGTGAACCACATCGCTCCAATCTCCACAGTCGTTGTGATAATCGATCCTAAATAACGAAAATGTTCACTCTTAAGTAGTTCTTCATTTTCAATCTTCACTTCTCCTCTGCTTCCATTATGACTGTTACTAAAATTACACTCCATATACTATGTCTTAGTTATGCTTATCCTAAATCTTTTAGATTCAAATCAGCTTGCTTGTTTTCATTTTTCAGAAAAACACTTTTCAGAAAATTCTACATTCTTATTTTCCGTGTTTTTTTGTTTTTACTGATTTTTTTTAATATTTTAAGCAATTTTTTTTACTTTTTAGACACACCTAACATAAATACACCTAAAAAGTAAAAAAATTGTAAAAAATCTTCTAAAAATTCACTAAATACCAAAAATACAAAAAAATACAAGAATTCAGTACATTTTTTTATATTTTTATGTATTTATTAATTTTTTAAAATATTTTTTCACATTTTTTTTCCTTTTTAGATACATCTAACTAAAGTTCACCTAAAAAAGTAAAAAAAAAAAAGATTAAAATTTAAAAAATATTCACTACAAACAAAAGAGTACGAAAATCAAAAAACTCAGTTTTCAAAAAACTTAATCCAAAAAACTCAAACCAAATACATTGAATGCTTTTCTCCAAATCTTTAATTTAGTGTTAACTCTTTTTCTAATCCCATCCACTAACACGATATCATCTTCAAGTAATGGAAGAATCAAAAGAAATGCTCAACTTAAACAAACTTTGATTTTAAATCAACTATGATGCAGACATATTGAGACAATTGTGACTGTATTTAAGTGTTTACTTGAAGTACTAATGTCAATTTACAACAATAGTTTGTTATATCAATTTAGTTTTTGTAATTTAATTTTTACAATTTTGTAGTGGCAAATTTGTTTAATTAATAATGTTGCTTACAATTTTGTACAAAAAGTGGTGACATATACTTCACATGGGCAAAATTAAGAAATTGCTAATTTTTCTTAGGTAAATTCTATTTACATTGCACTTTTATCTCATTACACTTCTTATTTTTTTTAGGATAAATTACAAATATATCACTGGAGATTTACTTAAAATACAAAATGTACTATATAGTTATGGAAATTACATCACGTCCCTTGAAATTTTTAATTTCATAATAAATAGACCCTTTTATTAATAAATTATCAAGTCAGTTAACAATTTTTAATGATATCGGTGCACCAATAGTTGCACAAATCTCCATCAAGTTGCATTGATTGTTGCACGAATCGCTATCAAACCGTACTGATAGTTGCACAAAATCACTTAACAATCAAGTCAGAATTGCACTGATAGTTGCAAAACCATAGATCAATCACTCAAAAGACACAAAAGTAAGCTCCTTATTTATAAACTGCCCAAATTATATAAGACTGATCCTCTCAAAGAGGTATGTAGGTAGTTGTAGACAACCCATTTTGACTGACCCTAAGATTTCAAGTGCTTGCAAGCCTCCCGATGATGAAATGCTAAAATATTTCATCTTCAGAATGTTTAAAGGATGTCTAGAGTTGCTGTACAAATCTGTTTTGGCCAAAAATCAACTTTTTGTTAAAATGACAATTTTACCCCTGAACTCGCTTTAACTGAAAACTAACTTTTTAACCCCGAGAAAGAGAGAGAAGCTCGATTGTGATCTGATCAAATGTATTTTCTAAAATTAGAGACCCATTTTATCCAAAACATTGATCAAGAGGTAATACGGACTTACTTGGGCCACAAGCAAGCCAAGATCATGAAGTGTATGCAAGGATGACACATGTACCATTGAAAAGGGTGCTTGCACACGTGCCTTGCACGTGCGCACCTTATCTGTGTGTGCACACAATCTTTGCGTATGAGCACATCCAGGTGCAATAGAGTTATTTTTGCAAAACTTATTCTTGGTGCTTTTTTGTAAAGAGGTGGCAGAACAAGCAATGGAGGTTGCCCTAGCTTGCTCCCCACACCCCCTCAAGCCTATATAAGGAGCCCTACCCTCTTTCTTTGAAGGGGTTGAGAAATTTTGAACTTTTGGGAGTTTTTGAGAGTAAAACCACCCTTTGTCTCTCTCTCTCTCTCTCTCTCTCTGTCTCTTTTCTTTAGCTCCGAAATACACACCTCTATAGCAGCTCTAAACCTCTGAAAAATACTTGCAGACATAAGAAATTGAACCCTAACTTGGAATCCAAGCTTGAGGGAGGCTTGCAAGCAAGAAAACGAAGGTTTTCCTGCACTTTTCTTGGTGTATTCTTCGATCTAAGCAAACCAGCGAGTAAACTTCCTTCTCCTTTTTATTTCAGTACTTATTTTGCTTTATTTGTCAGTTTTTATTCATGCTAGGTTGTTAGATTATCATCCCATTCATGTAGTTTATTAGTTTTGCCATCTTTTCGGTTATTTTTGCATGTTCTTCTCTCTATCTTGTTAGAACAACATGTTTTTAGGCATTTGTTAATCATGTGATGTTCATGCATAAGCTCGGATAATCATGTAGTATTAACTTATTTTTGCTTATTTTTACTTGTTAGTTGTTTTCCTTGCATAGTAATCACGTTAGTAGCCTCAAATAGGGCTTAGCATTGCATTTTGTATGTGTTAGTTGTATGATTAGGTCATGTTTATTTTATCTCTTGCATGTAAGATGCATAAGTGGGCGTTCAAGTAAGTTCCTCTCTTCCTCCTTGGCATGTGCTGTCTATTTGCATTGTTTTTCAATTATGCTAGTCTATATGCTCTTTATATGCAAAATTGATTGTTTGAATGTTTTATAAGTGTTGTTCATCTTAGTTCAATTTTATGGCCATATCTTACCTAAAATCCATTTTTGATGGAAAATCTTTATTTTATTTAGCCTTTGTTTGGGAAGTTTTAGCCCCAGGCTTTTTGGCTAAAAGAGCCACAAAAAAACAAAATAGGTTTTTTAACCCAATAAGACAAAACATCACATCCAATTAATAATCATTATATTTTTTCTCTCACAAAAGTCAAAAGAACTAAAAATCCCATCCCAAACAAGGCTTTTTAGCCTTAGCCTAAAATAGCTAAAAAGCCAAAAAGTCAACCTACTTCCCAAACGAATCCTCAAAGATGTGGCTTTATTCTTGCAACTAAAATAAATGATACCTGTTTTTATTCAAGTCACATAGTTTTAGGTTAGTTAAGGGTTTTAGGTCTAATGATGAATTTATGTGAATAATTAACCACTAAAATAATAAAATAGAAAGTGAGTAGAGACCAATCTTTGGATTGGGCAAAAAGGGATGCTTCTATGTAAATGGTCGTCTCCTTTTCTACCTAAGCTCCCAAACATAGAATTTATGATGGACTAGGCCTTAACTTAGTTTTCATTGTTAAAGGTTTCTTAATTTCCCTTAAAAAATTAAGTGGCGACTCTTGGTGTCAAAACAAGTCGGTGTGGGATGTATGGCTTAGACTCGAAAAAGCATGACGCCCAAGAAGCCTTCGGGTGTGACCACACGTCCCTCTCTATCTATTGTATCTTGTTTCATT